GCATCCAAATATTGTAGAACTCTGCTGCCAACCCAGTGAGGAAGCGTTTCTCTTCTTCTTTGACTTCATCAGTGCTACGGAAGCATTAGCCACTCAAGTGTTCCTTTAACGTGGGGAACAAGAGATAATTGCTAGGCACACTGAGCTGTACAGTGGGTAGGGCATCACAGTTCACCCAAAGTTTGTCAAAAGGTTCTGGGTTTGATGGGAGACATGAGGTTAGGCATTGTTGTGAAGCAGCGTTACACTGGCTGTCAGCCATCCTTACCGGATTAATCTAATCAAAATGCATACTAGCATGTATAAATATTCAAATTCCTTTTTGATTATTTTTTCTCAATCCAGCAACATATTGTGCATACAAAAAAACAAAGTATTTTGAGAACAAAAATTATGAGTAAGTTCCATGTATTATTTTAGTTAAGTATTGCACCCATCTGAAAAAACAAACCACCCAGGAATGCTGTCTCCTTCCCATATCTGCTACCAGATACTGATCAAAAAACATTTAATCCACCCCTCTGTTCAAACCTTTAAGCTTACTCTGTACTGTATTTATATCTTTCATAATTTTTTCTTACATTCTCAATAGAATCAATGCATTTACAGTTATTTTATTATTTTTTCAAGTGCCCACCAGCGGCCGAGCGGTAAAGACGCTGAACACTGGTAGTTCGGTCTGAGGTTCGAATCCCGCGAACGGGCTGGCTGCATGGGCGTTTTCGTGATTTTCCCCATGTGTAACGTGTATACGAGCCAGTTTCCCTTAGAAAGTCCTCCACGAAAGGCATTCCTCCCTTTAGGCAGATAGCCCTCGTGTGCTTTGCCATAATTAAATACACCTACACTTATTTTTTCAATGGGACAATAATAATTATTACTAGAATAATTTTTTGATTCTTCTCAACGTTATTTTTGTAAAATCATCTTCAATTTCTTTTTACATAAGTTTAACTGAACTTTCCAAATTTTTCTTTCATTGCAGAACTAAGTAATTCTGATAACGTTATACTGCATGACACTTTAGGATAATTCACACTTACAAACCTAATACTAATAAAAAAGATATATAATAAAAAATGTAATATATAATAATAATAATAAATACACATAAAAATTCTAAATTAGGTCCTCAAGACAGATGCTACTTGAGGGAAACTTACATTAAAGAAAACATCTTGCAATCTGACACAAAAGTACGGAAAAAAATTAATAATTGAAGTACAAAAAGAGATCATTTAAACATATTTATTATGATTAAAGATAATTTAATCAGTTTGGTGATGGTTGTACTTTTAGTTTTATACTCTTTCATTGTTTCCCAGCTAATATTTACCTAGAATTGAAAAGCAAAGCATTTTAGTTTAATCTTTAATAATTATTTATCAGTCAAAATGGTATTTGATTGAGTATTAAATCCTTGAGGAGATAAAGACAAGCTGCAAATAATAACCTTTTGTTTTGATGCCACAGCCAAACAATACTTGCTGGAAATCTAAAAATCTCTTTGTTGTTATTTTATTTAAGACGATGTCAAAAGTGTATTTTATTAGCTAAAGCATACTTGCCAACCTATGACACTCAAAAATCAGGAGATTTTTTTAAGAAATCGGGAGATTTTTCACAATGTTAAAAAGACTTTTTAAATGATGCAAATATAGTTTTTGATAATGAATTCACTTTAAATAGTAACTAATTCTTAAATGCAAGCAACACATACACATAAAAAACATTTTTATTACTTGCATAGTAAAAAAAAAAAAAAAAATCTTTAATTAGTTTTTGTACAAATGTTATAAAAAGTGGCAGATTTTGCTTTCTTTAAGAAAGAAATTTCATAATTTTGTTCCTAGCAATTGCCATGTAGGCCTGCTTTTGCTAATAAAAGTTTTTCTGATTTGTCATCACTAAAATTAGATCTAATAACCCTCATTTTCCAACAACACTGAAAATCCTCTCACACTCTGCATTACTATGGGGAACTGTCAAGATGGCCAACATAATTCTAGACAGTTCACTATATTTTAAAATTCCATCAGCATCTTTCAGTTTTCCAATTAAACTCCACTGGGTGTCAGTCCTAGCTGATTTTATAACTTCATCCAAGTTTTCTAATTGTAAACTGCTGTTATGCAGCTGTTGGAACTGTTTCAATTTTTCCTTCCTTTTAGAACTTCCTTCAAGATAATAATAAATATCAACAATGTGTTCATCCGCATTTATTGGTAAAGAAGCTGCCCCTTTTTCAGCTGCTAAATTTAAGAGGTGACAGGTGCATCTCATAATCTGCAAATCTGAATTTTCCTTTCTCAAGATGCCTGCCAGTCTTCAAGCCTACCAATACTGGTGCATTATCGGCACCAAGTGCTAAGCAATTATCCAGAGGAACTGCATTTTATTTTAAAGTTTTAATAATTAGCTGTGCTATGTTAAAACCTGTCAAATGTCCTTCTAAAGTGGAGACAGAAAGTAAACTGCACTCAATTTCTAAAGACTCTGGATTAAAAAAAGAAACAATTGGATACACTTTTGAATCGGTATTATTGCTTCCGTAGAGAGGCAGAACGGAGCTGTTTTAATGCAATCAATAACTGAAGATTTATTTTTAAAATCCAGTTCTTTAACAATTACACCTGTTTTGATTCTTGAGTATTTCTTATCGATTTCACTATCGGGAAACATTTTTCTAAATAAAACTGCAGCGTGATCCGATGCATTCAGTGGCAGGTTGTGCTCCAGTAAAAAGGCAGAGAACAGATACTCTGCATTAATAACTTTTTGGTCCTTTGTTTCCAAAGAAAAATTTAATTTTTCGTTTTTTTCAAAACAACTCCTGTTGTCCTTATGTTTTTGTGTACGCACATTTTTTAGAACATCCGCCCTTCCACCATGTGAAATCGAAAAATCGCAACGACAGGCGGTACACATCGCAAATTTATTACATTTCCTTGAGAAAATAATGGAAGGAAAGTCAACTGTGTACGATTTTTGAAACATACACGAGTATTTCACCTTTCTCACAGACATAACAAAAGATAATAATTTCTAAAAATATTTCCTGAAGGCACGTGTACTCACACAACTCAGGACAAAATGAGAAGAAGTAACTAAAGAAGCTACCGAAGAAGTAACTAAAGAACATCCAAATAACAGCTTTCTTTGTCCTCATTGGCTAATATATGCCATATGACATGCAGGTGGAGCACGATGCCCATTGGAGAACGAAGTTTCTGGATACGTATATGCTCTCACTCACAAAGCAGAAGTTATCTAATTCGCAAGGTTTTGTTTTAAATATAATCTAGAGAAAATTCAATTGCTTTCAGACGTCCAAATCCACTTTTTTTTTTTTTGTTGTTGTTGTTGTTTGTTTGTTTGTTTGTTCATATAACAAAGTAATTAAGCCAAGTTCCATAAAAATCGTGAGAAATTTTAAGAATAAGAAAAAGTCGGGAGAAATATATTGTAAATCGGGTTGGCGGGAGAGCGGTCGAAAATCGGGGGTCTCCCGCCTAAATCGGGAGAGTTGGCAACTCTGCTAAAGGCACCAATAAATTGTTGGCACGAAATATTCAAGTATCATCAAACTTTTCAAGCTCCTAATCACTACTACAAACAATATTTATTGTCATTTACGACATTTTCCAACCTATCAGTATTAGAATATCATTTCTAATATTCTATAAGAAATACAGTCAAAATTTGTTAATCAGGACTCGTCGGGACTTCGGCGATTCCGGATTATAGATCATCAGTTTAAATCTGGTAGGATGGCATGCAGAAATAACAAAATTAAAAATATGAAACCATAATTTATGAAATAAAGAACAATTATGATCTAAAAGGTATCAAAATTTACAAAAAGAAAAAGCTTAATATTTATTTGTTTACTTTATTTTACATTTCTTTCAATGTAAGTTGTTTCGTTTCATGTGATAATACTTTCTCTTTAATTCTATTAAACAGACATAATTTCTTGTTAAGTTACAAAGTTCCGCTGTTCAAGTCCTATAATTGCTGTGTCGAAAATACCGACTAATTTGTTAATCGAAATTTTTTCGTTTTCAATAACCTCTGTCACTTTCTTCACTATCGCAAGCGAATTATAGTGACGAGGAACTTGATTTAAATTCATAGCAAAGACGGAGTACATTGAGATGAAACACTACATTTAGTAAGGAATTATAAGCCAAATAAAATAAAAACATCTGCCCTGAAGATAAGGATAGTGCTGACAGATCAACTTCCAATTCATTGCACGCCACAGGGTTTCTCCCCCCCCCCCAGCCGCAGAGCAGCATGAAATTGATAAACAGATTTCGATATATACTTTCGCTTTGTAGATCCTTTACATATTAGTAAATATATATCGGAAATTCTATTTGACATAATCGAAAGTTCAAGCTTACTTTTATAAAACTGCTCTAACAGTCTGCAAAAAATAATAAGCCGGATCCAATTCGAAGATTAAGGAACAACGCAATCTGCAACATTAACTGAATTAGATAATTTTAGCTTAGCTTATACCGTCCGTTATACATTAAACGTGCATGCGTAAACGTATTATGCGCACGCGCATATTCGCAGCCGTAAAGGTCTTAAGTGCATGCGTAAACACCTATGCACATGCGTCAATGCGACACATGCGCAGAAAGTTTGTAGCTTTGAGGTCCGGATTATAGATCATTCTGGATTATGGGTGTCCGAATTAACAACTTTTGACTGTATATATTTTAGATATCAGAATAAGTTAATAAAAGTAGCGTATTTCTAAATAACAGATTTCACACCCTTATGGAATGAACTAAATTCACAGAATTTGAGCTAAGGGTAGCAGGATAAAGGTTATAAAAAGTATATATCCTCTTAAAAGTTCAACATAAGTTTTTAAAAATTTAGAAATTTATACTAAAAAAATTCAGTAATATTTATAATAGCACTGTTCAAACAACTGAATAAAATAATGAACATTAAAAAAAGAAGAAGAAAAAGAAACCTACTTTCTTCTTCAGGTTCTGAGGGAGGACTTTGAACCACTTTCCATGGACCTGACTGGCCATCAGATTGCTTCTGTGATTCTCCATTTTGTTCTGAAAGCATCTGCTCTTTTAACTGTTCTTCTTCTTTTTCTTTTTCACTAATTAAATCAGAATTGCATTTTTACTTATGAATAATTGAACTAAAAAGCCATGATTGTTAATTTAATAATAAACAAAGTTTAAAATTATGTTTTGGTAGGATTAAAAACAATGGCTAATCTATCATAAATGGGGGGGGGAGTTGGCTCCAAACTATTTTGGCCTTCAAAATTTGGCGGCGATGAAAGCACTAAGATGTCATTTTTAAATGTAAGCAGAATAGTAACTTTTAAGTTTTGCAGCAGTGAAATGCTATTATTTTCTGTAAACGAAATAGTAAAATGAGATCATAAAATACTATATGAGTAAAACAAAGTCCATCTGCTTTGCAAGTAATAACATAGCCCTATCGATACAATTCATGATAAAATATTATAATGAATAATACAATAATAAATTGTATAACACTTTCCCCAGACTCCAAAATTGTCAACCAAGTAAATATATTCAAATTCACTAACAACGGATGCATCATAAACTCCCTAAAATATACAAGTTACTATCCTCCTGGAATTCAACACACGAAACAACTTTTGTTCAAAACTTTAAACATTCTACATCGTTTCAATTGCCACATGCAAGGAAAAAACTTTTAAAAAAATCTGAAAGGTTTCAGTTTTTAAATTATGTCCAAAAGGGTGTTTTTTTAACGTTTTGTGTGTTACCTTTATTTATTAAATATCATGTTCTTTTCACTTAAACCATAAAATTCAGTTGAAAGCAATGTCGCAAAATAATTTTAAATTGAGCATATCTTTAAAATTTCTGATACACAATTCCGCGCGCTGGAGATAAAAAGATCTTTTTTTCCCCGTAGAGTGTTGCCATGCTATTGCTCGCTTTTACATCATTGAGTTTGTTACTAAAAAATTCATTAAAGTTTTAGAAAATATGAAAGGTCTTCCACATGCCCATATTCATAGGAGGATTACATCATTCAAAATTCGATGGCTCTATGTACCGTTGTTTTATCACAATGCGAGAAATATACATACATTTACGCATATTTTTCATTATTTAATTTTTTTAATATAATGCAGGACTCTAACATTGGTGGCAACAGTTTGAAAAGTGAAATAGACATTTATAGTGATTCAACACAAAATCGCAAAACGAAAACAATAGTCCTTCAGGGACAAAGCCCCTTTGAACTAATAATTAACTAACCCGGAAAACATTAACTAAAGAAAATTAAATGAAAATATTCATAAGTTATAAACTTCACGTCATCTGAAGCCCAACATTCTCCCACAAACAACTTAACCTCCTGCAAATATTAAACAGTAAAACTTTTAAAAACAAACACAGTATTTCAAAATTAAATTTAAAAAAAAAAAAAAAAACTAAAAGGTTTCAGATTTTAAATTACATCCAAAGAAGCTTTTTTTTAACATTTTGTATGTTGCCTTTATTTAATTGTGTTACCTTTATTTTATTACCTATATTATTTAAATATCATGTTCTTTGCGCTTAAACCATAAAATTCAATTCAAGAGTAATATCGCAAAATAATTTTTAAATGAGTTTATAACTTTAGAATTTCAGATGCACAACCTCGAGCGCTGGAGATAAAAATTATTTTTCTGCAAAATGTTACTATTGCTCGCTTTGAAATCCTCGAGTTTGATCATCAAAAATTCATTAAAGTTTTACAAAATTTGAAATCGATAATAAAACAAATTCCAAATTTCAGATTTGGGCTTCCAGATGCCCATTTTCGCAGGAGGAATACATTATTGAAAATTGAATGGCTATAGGTACCATTATTTTATCACGATTCAAGAAACATACATATGTTTACGTAGATTCTTCTATAATACAGGGTGATAATATTGTAGCGAAAATTGCTCTTTTCGACCGAGCTCCTCATAGCTTAGCAGAGAAGGCGCAGAACTCGAAACCCATCAATGATGAGATGCCTGAGAATTGGTTTTTACGTAAATTCCTTCTTGTTAATGTTACCTTATTTATGTAAATTTCCTTCTTATTCTTTCAGAACATTTCTAGTTTGGAATGTTTCAGCATGTTCACCAGCTGTATGTAAGTATCTCTTCATTCAGTTCGAGTTAATAAAAAAGTCTTGAGTTTAGACTTGAGTACTTACCTGTTCATTTGTAGGATCCCTTCATCTACACGACAGTTTGGTGGAGGCGACGGGTATCACTCAGTTACTACAGCAGAGTTACGCCAAAGCCTGCGGATTTGAGGACTTGCTCCCAAGTTTGGACTCTTACAGGATTCGCGTAAAAGATCGAGAAAGATGATTGATGAGAAGGAAACCGAGCAGAATCCTCCAGCAGCAGCTAGTTCTGCTTTGAGTAATATCGCACCATTACCGATCCTGACGTACCAACTACCCAGAAGCCCATATATATTCACCAGGGACAGACAAGAAGATACTAATAGATGGCTCAAGGATTTTGATCGAATCGCCAACTATAACCACTGGGATGATCAAATGTGTCTGTAGAGCATCATTTTTTACCTTGGCGGAACTGCTCGACAGTGGTTCAATAATAATGAAGACATATTTACCAGTTGGACTGTTTTCAGGACTGCTTTTAAGTACACCTTTACCCGAGCAGCTGATGTAAAGCGCCAAGCTGAACGAGTACGACTCACACGTGCCCAGCAAATCGATGAGACGTCTGAAGCTTACATTCAAGATGTTCTCGCTCTCTGCCGAAAAGCAAACCCATCCATGTCTGAAGACGAGAAAGTGGCCCATCTCATGAAAGGTATTGCTGAAGACTTGTACTAGGTCCTGTCGTCCCAGGACTATAACAGCGTCGATGCCTTCGTGAAATGCTGCCATCACATAGAAAGTCTTCGACGAAGACGTATCACCCGATCACGATTCCAGAGGATGCCTTATGTCTCCGCAGTGTTGGCCGATGCGTACACCGGTGAACTAAGGTCTATAGTGCACATCATCGTCAAGGAAGAGATTCAGAAGATCCTGCTGCAAGTTCAGGGCTACATGGAAATAGAACCCGTAGCACCGAATGACATAGCATCTGTAGTCTGGGAAGAGGTTATAGAGGCACTGGCACCACTCACAGGAGCAGAGAGAAACAAAAACACTACCCAACGTTCACTTCCAGTTAGGTCGGAGCCAAGACGGGAAGGCAGCCAGTGAACTGCTCCACAACGTAGAACAGATCTGTGGGAAAACTGACGATAATGTGCCTCTCTGTTTTCATTGCGGACACCCTGGACATGTTCTAAGGTACTTGTAGGGAGAGACGCAAGATATTTGAAAATGCAAGAGCCGCAAAGACGTGAAACCCTCGACGGGACAGGGATACTGAATCTACATACAGCTTCGACGACGCATATGCACAACCTATTTCTTCCCGAATAAGGAGCAGTTCACCTTATCCACGACGCTCTCTCAACTGCCGACAATCGCAGTCACCACTACGCCTTTCCAGCCGTTCCCCACGCCGAATCAATGAGGAAAACTAACTCAAGCGACCTGTACAGGAGGTGAGGCCACAGTTGAAAAAATCCTCCGACGTACACCACAACCAAGTTGAAAAAGAATAACACTTTTATCACCGTGAACGGGCAGTATGTGAAAGCCCTTATTGATTCGGGTGCCGATTAGTCTGTCATATCTGAAGAGTTACGTTGGCAGCTAAATGCTCCTATGTTTGTTGAGAATGGACCTGTATTGAAAACTGCTTGTGTTAAACCTGTAGCCACCTCGGGACAGAAGTAACACAGAAATATAATTGATAATAGCATGTCATTAACATGGGAAAAATTCTTTTTTTGACAATGATATAATCATAAGAGAATTAATGCATATTTGTCATCTGCACAGTAATTGGTTACTGAATAAGGTTGAAATTTGACATCAGTAAGGCACTGGATCGACACCGGTATTTAATCAACATTGACAAAGCTTATCATTATTAGTAATGATGAATAATCAAGAAGGCAAGCATATGATTAAATTTTAATTTTTAAGGTAACCTGCACATGATCAATATGGACATAGAATCAAAATTTGTTTCTAAGTTGCCATTTGACTTGGCAGAAAAATGGCAGAAAATGTCAATTCTATGCCATTCTATTGTCAATCTCCTATTCTATGCAATCCTCAACATTCTATTGTTGTCTTTGTCAAAATGTTAGCAGGTGTAGTATATTTTTTGTTTAACCACACACACACAAAAGTTTTGTTTTGATACCATATAAAAAAATATGTGGATTTTTTGTGCATTCAATTTTATGTATATTCCTGGTTCAGCTTTAAAGAATTATAAGAAAAGCAATGCATGATGCGTTTTAGTTTCCTGATTTTTATGGATTTATAGATTGTTACTACATAAAGGCTTAATTAATCAAAACTGCACCTAATTACTAAATCAGTATTACAAATTTCAATATGCAGAGCAAATTTCAATGTAAAGAAGCATATATACTGAAACAGCACACACAAAAAAAATAATAATAATAATATTTACCTAATAGAAAGTGCTTGTATTCTAAGGCCAGAATAATCTCTCTCCTTTTCTTCAATATTCTTCCACTCATCATCTTCCTAAAATCAACAATGCAGTTTTAAAAAACACATGATAACAGAAACGAACCAAAACAGCAATAATCAAATTTTTAGGCATTTTAAAATTTGAGCAAGAAAAGAAAAGATAATGGTTGCTTTCTGATTATCCACAATCCTGTCAACAGACAGCTTTGTGAAATGATGAAAATTGTTTGGCTATCTTTATGACTCCCAGGTAAACAGGTTTATTAATATTAACATAAAGATTTAATTTATCAGATACAAGAAGTTTTTGGTCCCCCTCAAAAAAAACTGTACAGCCAATATTTGTGTTTTTAATGATAATAGGTACTGTTGAGCTATGCTCTTCAATAAATATAAAGCATTTCATGTACTCAAAACACATGAGTGATACATATATTCATGAGCAGACATACTGTTGTGTGTATATCTGAAAATATGGCAAAACCAAACAATTCTATCATACTTTGAAACTGGGCTGGCTGATAATCAGAAAGTACCAAAAATGTTATCAGGTAAAAGAATGAGATAATTTGGTTACTCAATCAGCTGAAAAATGAAACCAAACTATTTTTTAAATGCTAAACTGATTGAAGTAGCAAATTATTTGGATACATGGGTATTGGTCAGTACTTGCCAATAACACAGTATACATCACTTAATGTAATAGAACTGATGTTATCATTTGGATACTGTTATTGAATTCATCTAAGCCAGGTATGGGCAAGCTTTTTCAATCGCAAGCCAAAAATTTAAAAAAAAAAAAAAAAGTTTGGCAGGCCAAGATAAATTTTTCTAAAATTTGAGAAGCAATATATAAGTATTATTATTTAAATATGTTAATGAGATGAATGAAATTGCAATTTCATTTTTTAAAGTTCCTTATACTGATGTTCAAAGTGAGATGTATTGATTCTAAGGAACGAGGCTAAATGCTCATCTGTCAGTCTACTTCTGAAATAATTCTGGTAAAATCCTACTTTACGGTGCAGCCTCGGCGCGATTTTGAAAATTATCGTCAACACCAAACATGATCCAAAGATATTGTCTATATATATACTATATTTGCTTATGCTTCTGAATTTGAATGATATTGTAGATTAGTTCAAGAATTAAATCTTTTATAAGTTTGCACATTTTTTTTTAAATTTTGTTAAAAATTATTTTGGCCTTTTTTTTTTTTTTTTTTTTTTTTTTACTTTTATACGTGTTTGTTAAAATTTAAATTTCTTTAAATTTAAATTTATATACTATACCCTATATACATAGTATATACTATAGTGTATATACATAGTATACTATGTATAACTATATATATAAATAATTCTTTGAATAAACCGTTTACTACTCATCGTATATGTCCCGTTTTTACTGCTCATCATAAAGTCGCCAAAAGTAGCCAAATCCCGTCTGCACCGGATACTAGGATTAAACCATAATTCTTTCTATGGTTCATAGTTGAAAAACTGTTCACATATATAAGATGAAGCAAACATACCATTGATTTTCTGGGCATGAGATATTAAATTTGGGAAATTCGCTTTCGATAATGATTTGTAAAGCTCCAACTTTGGTATATTTAGAAGCAATTGCTTTTGAGATGATTGTTAGATTGCAACTCAATTAATTTAAGGTGCAAATCTGATCTCAGTGCTTCACAATTTACGTTGAAAGGCATGGTAAACATATCCAATTCTATTTGAATGGCACTGAAATCTTACAATATGTGTTCGAACTCAAAATGCAATTTTTTCAAGCCATCGTCATAATTCTTAAACTTCTCTTCATTTACTGAGGGTATTGAATTTAACCTCGGGAAATGAGACAAGTTGTTCTTAGCTAGCTGCACAGTAAACAATAAAGTTTTAGTTTTAAAACTTTGAGATAGGCCCAGATATCGTCGATAAATTGATTTTTCCCTTGCATCTTTACATTCAAGTTGCTCATACGACAAAGAAGATCTGTGAAAAATGCAAAGTCCGAAAAAGCCATTCTGTATTTTCTAACACTTCACACCCCGCAGAACAGTTTCTCATGGGAGAACGACACAATGTGCTCCATCGGTCGTAATATTACATATATTTGTTACAGGCAATTTCAAAGTTAAAAGCCCTTCCTGAAATTCACAAAAAATACCACATCCCATTGTTGTTCCCTTTAAAGAATGCATGCACGCCAGTTCCTCAGTAATTTCAAAGTTCTCATCCACATCTCTAATAAATAACACTATTTGAGCGCAGTACCATTTATATCAGTGCTTTCATCCATTGCTATGGAGCAAAATTTAAACTGGCCAACTGTGACTCTAATTGCGATGTCAAATTTTTATCGATGTCTTCGATTTTAAAAGTCACCGGCAAGTTCTAGAAGTTTTCGGCATGATAATTTTTTACAAAGACTTTCTGCATTTTTTCCCTTTTATATTCAGACATTGCTTTGTAATTGGAATTTTCTTAAATGTGAAATGACGGAAAATGTTATATTCTTTGAAGACTGCTATAGCTTCATTGCAGATGAGACACACTGGTCCATTTTTTGCAACTGTAAAAAAAATTTCCAGGTCCATTCATCATTAAAAGCATGGCACTCTGAATCAACTTTATGTTTTTTAGTAGCCATTATGGGGTTGATATATTTTACGAATAACCCAAACCAGCATTATCTATGCTGTACTTTTAATAATTTCACCACTATTCACAATGATGCTATGTGTCTGCAGTCTTTCCATACGCAATTAATAATATTCGAACTCCCGCTCAAAGAAAAAGCCGCTGGCTGGAGCTTAAAATGTGAGGCATTAAATGTTTGTCACAACTCTAGAGCTATAACTAACAAAGAACTTCTGCTTTTAGCATTTTACTGATTGAAAGCTGTCCGTGCTTGCTATTTCCATCAATTTGTATTTTGTAGAACAAAAACAGAGAAAAAAAAAAAAAAGATCATCAGTCCTTTAAAAAAACGGAAGATAAAAAATAATATTTAAACAAAGTAGAAAAGGAGATGGATATATAATAGATAAATATATAGTTCTTTTAATTTGCCTCACACCGGCAAATTAAAATTATATCCACGGGCCTTAGTTTGCCCATCCCTGACTTAAGCCCGACTGTCTGTAATGGAAAATACACTTCTTAAAGTGATCAACAATTTGGTTAATGTAATCAAAGTATTATCGAATGAGTTTCTTAAATCTGAAGTAAAATCAGCAAACGAAAGTCATCAAATAAAATCAAAATACATCATAAATTTGCCAAATGACAGAAAATGGCACCAAATAAGCAATTAAATCACTAAATAGCATCATTTAAATTTTAGTCAACCATTTAAAATTAGACAAAAAAAGGTAGATTTTGATTTTTAGTTTAGACTAGATTTTGAATAATTCTATCAATTTCAAGGGCAATCAAACATAGGTCCATCTTCTTTAGAAGAAAATTTCTGCAAATCCCCCCCCATTCCGGAAAAAAAGGCTAATCTTTGGAATATGGTAACAGGTAGTTTGGCGACATTTTGGTAAGGCGATAAAGGTTACTAGCTAGGACTTTAGCAGTGTACATGGATAAAGTCAAAAGTGTGCACAATGCCATTTTTGTGCAATTCTGGGATGTTTTTTTAAGTGAAAATAGGTCGACGTGTACATGGATGATACCGTGTATGTGCAATTCTTAAAAACGCGGCAAGCAGTGAGCAATTCTGCACTTTCTCCCAATTTCGCACCTAATCTTCCTCATGATTAAACACTTTTGTTCCATAAAAGTTCTAGCATAAGCGTAATTCGACTAGCAGATTGGTGGAAAAAAATGTTGAGTAAAAAAAAAAAAAAACATGCCTTTACTTCGTGAAAACAAAATGGCATCCAAAAAAAACTAGCAGTTTGCTGTAGGAGGGTTGGTCGTCACATTTTCGCAAAAAAATCACAAAGTTACCATAATCCAAAGATTAACCAAAAAAAAATCTACACCATATTATTTTCTCCCTCCCAATTTTAAATCTTACATTGGCATGTTCTCTTCAATTTAATATCAACTATCAAAAGGAAACTATTTTCCTAGTTTCACGAATATCTCCTGGACTAAGCAACTTAACAAGGCTGAAATCTGCCAGTCACTTTCTGAAACAAATCCAGGCAGTCATGGATAACTTCTGTGAAGATAATTTTGATAAAATCGGTGAATTTCCAATACCGAGATAATGATACAATCCAATTATTAAGATTATGGGTGCACAATTGGCTACATAATTCCTAGAAACATTATGAACGGTTCATGAATGAGCTTTTGAGTAGCACTTGCAGACATTCTGCTAATAACGATCTTGCTGTAAAAGAATAAAATGCTGTTTAAGTATACATGTTTGTCACTATATCTGTATTAATTAAGTTAAATTCCACTGTTATTTTAATGGATATCTTTTCTTAGCATTTAAATTTTTATTCAGTTAATGTTACCAAAACAGCTGGGGATAAACATGATCATATTAAGTGGTACCTACCTAAAGTACCACCACATGTATGATTCTACTTTCCAGTAAGGACTGCAACAACCTTGAAGCAACCTCAATTATATAAAAAAGTTTTCTTCCCACCTCTCAATTATTGAAGGGTAAAGAGTGCTTTTTTTTTTTTTTTTTTTAAAGATACTTTGGTAACAGTTTACAATTGGGTGCTCCTTGTTTTTTGGCGATTCTTTTTTGACGCCAAGATCGGCGGCAGGAAGCACAATTTCAAGATGGCCATTACACAAAACCAAAATAATAAGTCAAAGAATACTCTCTAATAATAGAATAATTACACAAACTCTGTGTCCACGTATACATCGATCTGTTTTCACTTAAAAAAGAAACCAGAATTGCACAAACTAGGCATTGTGTACTGCCTTAAACTTGTCCATGTACACATCAATCTATTTTCATTTAAATAAAATCAGGAAGCTAAAACAAAGTCAAAACAAAAGTGAGGTTTTATCGCCAAAATTTTTAAAAAATTGTCTCTAATCGAAGGGGCACCCAATTTTACACTATAGCAGAAATGGTATATTTTGCTAAAGAATCACAGTTTCAGTTCTTATGCAATGAAATAGTAATGATGGAAGACAGATATGTAGTCTTAAGAACTACCAAGGATATGTTAGAACTTCAAAAGAAATCACTACTTTATTTTTACGTTATATTTATACTTTACTTAGTCACTAACTTATCACTTTCTTTCCTAATTTATATGAAAGGCAGAAACAGAATGTAAAGAAAAACAACTGTTTACCGTGATTTTTGTAGCAGCCAAATAACAAGTGCAAGAAATCAAAATGCATATTCAATCTGCTGCCATCATGAAATATGCAAGTGCTCTTCATCAGAGTTGTGATAGAAGGGGACCTTTATCACATGAAAATTCAATAGACCTGCTTTCATGAATCATTAACTTTTTACTTTCTTATTTAAAAAAATCTGGCACTTGTCTTTTATGCACCTGCCATGCTTTTGGAGGCGTGTGAAAGAGAAATCAAACACATGCCGACACCCAAGCACAGTCCTCTTTGGTGACCAAACCATTTGTCGATTCATACACAAACACACAAATGCGCGACAGGTGCATGCCAGAAACGTACCAAAAATTTAAACAATTTATTGAAAATTTAAAAGTAATTTCTAGGACTTCCTAAAGTATAATTTTCAATTTATTATTTTTCTATGATTTTTTTTAAACCTAAAAAATATTTACGACAACTTTTACAATTCTGAAACAAATTCAACTCTTTCCTTGTTACATGAAATTATAACAACACATTTTTCAAAATGTGATTTTATAGATGAGAAAGGTAAAAAGATAACTCTCATTTACATTTAAAATAAGAAAAATTCTTGGCAGAGTTATGACATGCCACACTAGTAGTATATACAGGGCTGGTACTAGCATTTTTGCTACCTTTGCAGGTCCTAAATTCTGTTGGCCTGTGCATATTCTGAATTCTCGGTACAGTTTCACCAGTTACCATAGCTCTGGTGATGCCCCCCGAGTATACCATAACCTAGGAATTAACCCAATTATTCCCACAGTTATCCAAAGAGAAGGAGAGAAGTAAAAGAAATAGAATCAGAAAATACTTCTTTAAGTCAACAAGAATCTATTGCTAAGGGGGGGGAATCAAAATAACAGCTATAACTTTTCTGACAGATTTTATATTCATTTTCAAAGACGAATGTACAATTCGTTTATTATTATAAAGACCATCTAACAATCCAGAAAAATAACTTTATTAATTGCTTTCCGTCACGAAAGAAAATTTAGTCTCTTATTCATCTATAAAGTATATTTAAAAATTATAAATTCATGAAACACCTACTTGAGGTGTTATAAAAATGATAATGCAGTGTATAACTGATTTCGGAAAACTTAAAACACAACACGCAATTTCTTGTTTAAATCTCAATAATACTGATCGCGAAATTATCTGCGGCAGTTATTCAATTGAATAACATATTTTCAACTAACCAAGAGCTTAAATAAAAGTAAACAATTTAATCTTCTACGTAATACGCAGATTTTAATAATTAATACCAATAAATCTAATTCTAAATACAGGTGATCATTAAAGACGACAGAGAAATTTCTTTTCTTGCCTGAATATGTAAAGAAAAAGGAAAAACTTTATTCAAAATTTACACTGCGAAACCACTTAAGCACTGGATTATGGCAAGATTCTGTACTACATAGCAAATATTCAAGCATAAGAAAAAATTTTGCTTTTTATTAACTTCTGAGCTGCTGTATTTATTAAATACTAACAACCGGTTCAGCAGGAGTTCGTTAGTTCTGTCATTCCATGGAACAGAGAACAGCTGTTTTATTATGATATTTATAAGATCGAGTGCTTACATAATACAGAATAGGTAAAAATACGAAGAATTAAAATATATACTCACTTGTTCACTTATTATTGATGGTATAATAATTGATTGATTATTAGAATTAAGAGGAGTTTTTTCCTTCGTATCTTTCTTCTGTATTGAATCTGGCTTTTTACCTCCTTCTTCTAATTTTTTAGCTATAGTTTCTGACGTAGTATACTTCGCTTTAGATTTACCCTTTTTGCTTTTATCTTTCTTAGCAAAGAATTCATCTAAAGTAGAATCCGCCATTATGTTATTACGACACACAAAACTTAATGTTCCAGATTTCACCAGACTGTGCGAATACGTGTGATACCGCACGCTTGAAACACTGCAGAAAGACAGAAACTTGCTGCACAAAGAGCTCAATAAAGTTTAACTATGAGGCTGAAGACAACCCAAGTTTGTGGCTCAGTCAGATTTCCTTCGTTCCAAGCTTAAACATCGGCGTATTTCCCGAGAGATGGCGCTGTACCATTTTGGATAACCGAAATCCTATTATTAAGTAAGCTTCTTCGCAAAATTGAAAGTTTCAAGCATTAAAAGCACATTTAGAAATTTCAGTTGAGCATTTATGCTTTTGGATGGGCTTTTAAAAGTTAATGCAAATAATAAATCTAAGCTTCCTTAGCAGCAGTATAATACAGTAATACTTAACAGAAGTAATACTAGGAAAGAGTGAAAAATTTTAGCCTTATTGTAAAGTGTGTTTAAGTTTATCATGATTTCTGTACCTAACCAACACCTACATTAATGCATTCATTGCGCAGTAGTTTGCTTACAGACATCTTAAAGAGGATTTATCCTAAGTGTCTCACCCTGAGCAACAACCTCAATGACATGATATTCTGTGTTAAAGTGTAGATGAAAATCTTATGAGGCTAAATTAGGGAAAGAGGTCGATAGGAAAATTAGGTGAAGCTTCAATTGAGCAGCTTTAGAAATTGCAGCCAGTGAGAAAGAACATTATCTTGATCGACCTTTCTCAGCTTTCCTTAGCCTCTTCTTTTGCATACAGTCTTTCAGTTTGTTATCAGATTTTCATTGATAGGGTAATCAAGTAAAATTAACGCTTCTTTTTTCCCTTCGTTTTCAAATTTTTCTTTGGTTTTCTATGCAATAAAGTGTCTGGCGAACAGAGAAGTCAACATTTTGTTCAGGGGCAGTTATTAGTAGATGATGTATGGCACACATTTGGTCAAGATCTCAAAACGATCAGACTGTTTTCATAGTCATTTGATGATCGTCTGTAACCAATGAGGTATATTCTAACTCCTTGTCTGTAACTATATTCAGCATAGTGTTGATATTTTGCTCTGCTGCCACTGGACGACTTCCTCATGAGTCCTCCAAAATGCTTTTGAATCTATGTTTAAAGTCTGCGACACACCATTTAACAGTTTTAAATGATGGAACTTCATTTCCTAAAGTCTGAAGTCATCCTACTGATGAATTGCTGTCCGACAGTAGTGTCTACTCCCGGCCTTTTGAGCCACTTTTTTACTATAAAAATTGCTTTCATTTTCCACTTGAGGTTGGGGGAAAAGAGAGAAGAAAACGTCAATTTGAGGAAATTTCACCGTGTTACAAACCTCTAATCTATTATCCTACAACATTTGAACTACCAACTTCATTTCTTTCTTGCAAGCCTCAAAACAATTTCATCTTTCCTATGTAAGGCTGAATTAAATCCCTTAAAAGTAAACTTAGCAACCTTTTCACCCGCCTTTTGAGAAGAGTATATATGTCTTGAAAATCCAGCTGTGTATTTATAGTTATGTAGGGTATTCATTAAATTCTAAGCCTGAATGTGGTGTAAAATTCGTCGTATGACATTATCTTTTGAAGTAATAAAAAGGAGCAGACACAGCAAGTGTTACTGTTTAATTGTTTAAAAACTGAGCCATCAAGTGAGAAAGAAGCTATCATGACCGGTCAAGTGGCGGACCATGCTACCTTCATGATTTATTTACTGTTTTTGACTTTGGAGTTTTAACATACAAAAGTTATTGCTGTTTGATTTTGTAGCCTTTTCTTTAATTTAGAAGTAGTCGCCTTGGAAGTATAACTGCGACGAGAGATTTTATCGCTCAGCAGCTAACTTCCTGTCTTTTACTACAACTGAAAGCTGTGATTATTTTGACAATGATGTAAATCGTCGCTGAAAAATTATAGTTTCTTCCTGTAAAATAAAACGTAATGAATGTTTGTGTCATAAGTATAGATCGTAATCTAGTCTCTTCACTTTTAGTGGAGCAAACACCGGAATACCTGGTCTATGGTGACTTACCTCCATCGAAATGTATCTTACTTGCGATCATAGTAATGAACTACTAAAGATGTTACGGAATAGTGAATCATAGGGTTAAAACTATTAGGAAGTGGGCATAAAAAACTATAAGAAAAGCTCTCGAACTGGTGAATTACGTAAGAAATCAAATTTAGAAACATGTAACAGATACAGAAGAGGATATAAGAGTGTGAGTAAATAGGGCATCTTACCAACTGTAACCAAATACACACAGCTCATGAGAATAGACCAAAGATTTACTGAAAACTATAATAAATCTATACTACCAATATAAAATAAACCAAACAACAGTGGCGGCTCGTAATGAGCACTGTGGAACTGCAGCACCCCCATTTCCACTTATTATAATTTTTAATATTTAATATAGTGTGCCCTTTAATCTTTAATTCTTTCTTTATACTTTTACAATACATAATTCTTAATGTCAGTGTGTTGTATTTTATATGTGTTGGGTACTGCTCAGTTATGATTACAAGATGTACACAAACATCGCTTATTCTACATTACTCATCTACTATTCTATATTACAGTTATAGTTAAGATAATAATAGATACAGTTACAGTTACATATATAACAGTCAGTAGCCATCTTCCAGTTTGTGAAAAAGGTAAGAAAGTCTGTGCTTGGAACTGCGTTCTTCACAGTTCCAGCAACTTGGTGTTTGGCTGATTTGCGCATGCGCACACAGCAGTACGCCGAGCCAGAGAGAGAGAAAGCACTGTCGCTCTTGTAGTGCCGAAATTATGGCATGTTGCTGAAAACATGATTTCTTTTTACTCCGCGCGTGTCGTATTCCACACAAAAGCGGAACTTCATCATACGGACCGTAGACAGAGTTCATGAAAATTTGCAACCTTTAAATAATTGCCTAACTGAAATTCAATCAACATTAAATGCAGATCAAACTATTGCAAAAGCGACAAGAATTTTAAAATATCTAAATGATAATAATTTCTAGTTTTCGTTAGAGCTTTTTTATCAGATTATGCCTCATGTTGAAATAATATACAACTAAATGCAATACAGAGAAATTAGTGTGTTTAAAGTTAAATTTCTAAACTGCTATTTTAGAATTAAGAAACTCAAAAGTACTGTGATAATTTTTAAAAGACACTGATGGCAGAAGCTAAGGAAATATGTGATTTTATACTATGTATTGGTATAATGCACAGATATTCTTCAACTAAACACTTAGCAGCTGCTAAATTGTTTAACAAGAAATGCTTCGCTAGTTTTAGGAATGAACATTCTACAGAAGAAATAGTACTGACCACTGAAGCATATCCAATGATTGACAAAGAAAAGCTTGAAACTTAACTAAAAGTATTCTATTGCAGGTCTGATATCCATGGATACTGAAAATTAATTGAGCTATTGAAATTTATCTTCGAAAATAATCTGGATGATGTTCTTAGTGAAATTACGAAACTGATAAAAATTCTCTTGAGAGTTCCCATGACTACACCAGAGCCAGAACGCTGCTTTTCAACACTGAAAAGAATGAAAATTTTTCTAAGAAATTAGGTGTGTATAGAGAAGGAATTCGGAAAGACTAAATGCGCTTGCATTGCTTTCAATAAAGAAAAATTTTCTCAGTTGTCATCCAGAGATCAAGGAGAAATTGATCTTTTCACCCAAATTAAAACAAGAAGAATGGATTTCATTTTTGAATAAATAAATATAGATTGAACTGTAACAGTTTAGGTTAAAGTAATTAAGAAATGTTTGATTTTTTTCTCGTAAGCTTTCAGGATGTTTCAAAATAAATTTTCTTTTTATACTTGTTTGTTTCCTTTTACACAATTTTAAAACAAAGGTTAAACTTTTTTAGAACAGCACCCTCACTAATTTTAGCTACGAGCCGCCACTGCCAAACAAGGTAATTAATGAAGACCAAAGATTACGGGAAGTACACCAATAGCAAAGTAAATTATCGTAAGAGTGACGAAAATAAGTTAATTGCCTACACGTGGGGGTGTTCTGCTGGATTAATCTTCAAAAATGTTGAAAACGACAAATAATTTATTTAAGGGTGTAGGGGCTTGTTTTAAATCATCTAATTTAGAGATAAACTGTTTGTAGAATATACAGAATAGAAAAACCAGTAAATTTTTTCTTGACCTCTGAGATCACAGTAAAAGTTAGCAATAACCTTGAAAATATAGTTACTACTGTTTCGGAATTTCTTAAATGAGACCTCTCAGACAATTAATTTTTTTGTGATCTTTCCACAGTATTTATTGCACTTGATGTGGGAGCTAGGAATGCGCTAGGAATTCCCTAAGTTTGCGAGTTGAATTCAGTTCATTCACCATTATTATGCTAAAAATATCTTTAGCTAGAATCTAGGGTATTTTCGGGCATTTCGTATAATTAACTGCATGTTCCCCACTGCATTTACAGTAGGTGGACTTAGAGATCCATTTGGCTTTTCAATCTAAGGTCTTGTGAGACAATGCACATTTAACATACTTCGCAGCGGGTTTACACTCTTCCGAGGTGTGGTAGAAATAATGACAATTATGGCACTGACAAGCTACAGAACCATTTAGCTTGCACGGTTTAACACAAAATGAATTGCACAATATGAATGCTCAAAAGATTCTCAAATCAGTAAATTTTCTCCACCACAGGCTCATTAAATACTTGATCCCGAAATAAAGGCATATGTATAATCTAAACATGGGAACTACTTTTAGTACATTGAAAACAAGAGTGACAAGTTCGCCTCTAAATTCCTCTGAGGAAGAGTCCGAAAAGGATTCCTCTCAACATCACTTTTATCGGTTTAACCTTTTTAGGATTAACAATGTAGTGTTGAACTTTTGTCGCTAGCGAAGTGCCTAGATAATACTCTATGGTACTCTGACGTGTCAGGAGAGATTTTTAGAAAATCACCAGAAATTCTGTCCTTAAATATTGCTTTAGTATCGTCTTTTAGTTTTCAGATAGGCGAGAAAATTCAGCGAAGGAATAACCATGATGGATTTTACTTTTGGTTTACGTGCATCCCCATTTAGAGAAGCTTCACTGCTGAATTTGGTATCTACATCATTTGAAACACTACTATC